CAGACCAGAGAGAACCTCCCTTGGAGTTCTTTCTGTTCACACCTGGAGTGCACTTCCAGGTTTAAGGAGCCTTCAAGTCCAGGCTGGAAGATACTGGAGAGGGAAAAAATGATAAACTACTCATCACCAGTTTGGTAGACTTTCCAATGCTGGTGTTCTTCCCCATCTCTTACTACCATTTACATTTCTAAGTCCTCAGAGAGCTGCTCCACACATTCTGTGCAGGACTTACACTTGCAGCATTAAGGTAAGCAGAAGAGAGCATGCTTAATCTATTCCAGAACTGGAACATAGGTCCTGTTATATTTAATTTGTTAAACAAGAAAGGAAATGCAAATGCTTTCAAAATCTAAAAGTCTGCCTCCAAAGTTTGTACTATGAGCTTATCTTTTAAAACTAAGTATTAATTTCCAGTGAAGATTTCTTTTAAAGAGATGAACCATTGCTTTTTCACTTGAGAATATTCAGAAGTGTAATTTCTTCTCTTATGTGTCTGTTAAGGTTCTTGGGGTGTAAGCAATAGCAGTGGTTTCTTGCTAACTTAAACAAAAGGGAAATTCCAAGCACAGATTTTCAATAGAGGTGAGACAGACTTATGTTTGGGGGGGAAAGATAGAAAATGAACAGGAAGAGAAAACCAAACTCACAGAAGAAAGGCTAAAGAAGAAAACTCAGAAAGAATCCAGGCTGTTATGGGAAAGCAGGCATGCTCAAAGCCTTGACAAAGCCTTTCGTTTCAAAAATTAAACTTCTGGGAGAGTTTGTCTGATCCACCAGCCCTCAGATGGGGTAAAGCACCAAAAGAAAATCAAAGTGCTCTTACAAAGCAAGGTTCAGGGAAAGCGCTGCCACAGCAAAAAGCAACAAATAAATGCTTCCCCAAAACATGCCATACATGCTCTTCGCTGTTTTCGACAGAAGCATTAACTGAGGAATGTCTCTTTTAGTGATGAAGAGAAAACCAATATGGACTCAATAGCATTACCTTACAGAAGCAGTTCCCAAACTCTTTGGTCTTGGGATTCCTTTATACTCTTAAATGTTAATGAGGATCCCAAAGAGCTTTTATTTATGTGAGTTATATCTATTAATAATCATATTAGAAGTATAAAACTGAGGAAATTTAAAGATATTTATTCATTAAAAAAACAAATTCATTACAGGTTAACATAAATACATATCTTTATGAACAATTACTATATTTTCTAAGACAAAAGTTTAATGGGAAGGGTGGCATTGTACATTTTTACAAATCTTAATATCTGATTTAATAGAAGAAAGATGGATTCTCATTTCTGCTTCTGCATTCATTTTGTTGTTTTGGTTGAAATATATACAAAAAGTAATCTGGCCTCACAGATATGAAGTTGGAAAAGGAAGGAATATTTTAATAGCCCTTCAGAAAATTATGGCTATATTTCTTCAAATCTATACCAAACTTTGGCAAGTGAACTTTTCATCATCTGTTACATAAAAATGTGTTAGTCTATCTTATACTTTAAATGGATCTTTTACCCACAAATGATTCTGTAATATAATGCACTGATCATCTGGAAAATATTGGTTCATCGAATTATGTAGATCTTCCAAATATTGACCCATTTATTTGAAATATTTTTAAAGTCACAGTTGTTAATTCCATCATCAATCTTATCAGAAAAGTCTTGAAGAATTGGGAAGCTATCAAGCACATTAATACAAGTTTTCCAAAACTCTTTCACTTGAAAGCTTGAATTTTGTCATTGGTAACAAATACTGTCAATTGTTTTCCTTGAAGTGACAAGTTCACTTTCTCAAGAAAATAATGGCCAAATACCTAAAGTTTGTCAGTTCCTTCAAGTCAGTGGTTCTCAACCTTCCTAATGCTACAACCCTTTACTACAGTTCCTCATGTTGTGGTGACCCCCAATTTCATTGTTACAAATTGAACATAATTAAAGCATAGTGATTAATCACAAAACAATATGTAATTAAATATGTGTTTTCCGATGGTCTTAGGCAACCCCTGTGAAAGGGTCGTTCGATCCCCAAAGGGTCGCGACCCACAGATTGAGAACCGCTGCTTCAAGTCAAAATGGTGTTCCATTAAAAAGGCAGCTAGGCCCTGGCCAGTGTTGCTCAATGATTAAAGTGTTGGCCCATGCACCGAAGGGCCTTGGGTTCGATTCCCAGTCAAGGGCTGGTACCTGGGTTGCAGGTTCACTTCCTGCTCTTGGTCAGGGCATGTGTGGGAGGCAACCAGTCAATGCGTCTGTCTCACATTGATGTTTCTCTCCTGCTTTCCTTCTCTCCCTCTCTCTACTTTTTCTCCCCTTCTCCCTCCCTTCCACTCTCTCTGAAAAGCAATGGAAAAAATATCCTCAGGCGAGGATTAACAACAACAAAAAGGCAGCCAGGTCAGCCTGCAACTCAATCACTCCAGGGGGTTTGACAACCATCAAATTTGCAGCAAAAATACTTCAGGCAAAATTCTTATTTTGTCACACAAAATAGTGAAAAGATGTTTGCTCAAGAGTCTAGATTAAATAAAATTAATAATTTTTACTGCTTCCTCAAAGACATTCTTAACTAAAACTGGCTTTTTAAAACTGCAAGCATGTGGCAATGAATACAAGGAGTACTAATTCAATTTACCACTACCTTGATCACGCTAAGGCACCAGCAATTTTACCCATCATTGCTTTTGCACCATCAGTGCAAATGTCAATGCACAGAAAAAAATCGACTATTGTTTTTGGCATTGTTATGAAAATTGTTTTTGACCCGTTAAAGGGTCCTGAAGACCTGCAAGAAATCCCCAGACTGTATGCTGAGAAGATCTAACTTAAAAAATAACTCACTTGATAAAAAAAAGACAAGTGACATAGTATGTAATAACTAGATCAAGATAATTTTGATAGCCAGCCTCTAAGATGGCCCCCAATGATCCCTACCTCGCGCATAGTCCCATTCTATACACTAATCCAGAGTTGGTCTGAACTATGTGACCAATAGCATATGCCTGAAGTGATGGTACGACATTACTTCTGAGATTAAGTTATAAAAGATTGCCGCTTCTGTCTTGGGCTCTCGTTCTCCTGGATCACTTGCTCCAGGGAAAGCAAGCTACCATGATGTAAGCAGCCCTATGGGAGGCAAAGAGCTAAAGTCTACAACCAACAGCCATGGAGGAAGTGAGTCCTGCTAACAACTGTGTGAGTGAGCATGGAAACAGATCTTTCAACCCTAGTAGTCATCTTGGCTATAATCTCATGGGAGACTTCAGCCAGAAATACCCTGGCTGAACAACTACCACATTCCTGACTCTTGGAAAATGGGAGAAAATACTTTAATGTTTTAAGTTGCTACGTTTTGGGATAATTTGTTACACAGCAGTAATAGTAATACAGTTAAGTATACCGAGATCTTGTACCTGGTAGAAAATGGAAAGGAGAAGGAGTCAACATAAGAAAATGGTTAACTAGATTTTACGAATAGATTTTTCCTTAACAAAGCTCCTAAACTAAAGATCTATGAACTTAAAATAATATACAGCTGAAAGATGAAAGCCCACAAAGCTTCTTCGAGAAGACAAATCTATAGTCCTTGTGTTCTGAAGGAGTTGCATTTCTCAGCTAGCTACGTAATAGCAGCTACACAAATTACTCTGAACTGGTGCTGTTTCTTTCCATTCAAAAGCTATTCTGAAAGCCAGCATGGATTTCTCTTCCCTTGCTGATATGTCTTTTCTGGCATTTTCCCTCCAACACAAGCCTCACTTACCTAAACCAAAATTCTATTCTTGCAACTAGAATTATCTAAGCTTTCTTTGCAAGAGCAAAAGTAGCTCTTTCCAAGGTCCTTAACTGAGTAAATATCTGAACCTCACACACATAACAGTTGTTTTAACAGGGTACCTGAGCACTCAGCACACCACCAAGGGACAGAGTCTTTATTGCTAAGCAAGGCTTTAATCTCAGCCTCCTCTGCCTCGGACCCAATTCCATCCTTTTAGGGGGTGCTCTTTCTTTTTCTTACCAGTTTTCTTACTTTCCATCACCAAGGCGATGCTGAGCTGTTGTTCCTCAGTCCCCACCTCTGAATCTGCTTCCACATCCCTAGCCTTTGTTATTGGAGAACAAAAAACTCTTTCTGACTGGTTCCCATGGCCACTCTATGTTTTTGGTATGTTTTTTCCCCCAAATATGTTTTTATTCATTTCAGAGAGAGGAAGGGAGGAGAGAGCGATAGAAACATCAATGATGAAAATCATCAATCGGCTGCCTCCTGCACGCCCCCTGCTGGGGATCAAGCCTGCATCAGGGGCAGGTGCCCTGACCTGGAATGGAACTGTGACCTCCTGGTGTATGGGTTGATGCTCAACCACTGAGACTGGCCAGGCTCCGTCCATGTTTTAAGTAGGTTCTACTACTTGAAGCTACCTGAGCCATGACAGAGTCAATAGTCCCAAATTCCTAGACACTCCACTAGCTTTTCTTGTCAAGAACACTACCTGTGCAAGCCTTCCACCATGACTGTTTTTCTAACTGGCTGATTATCACAATGTGCCTATCCAAGGGGAATGTTCCCTAAGCCTCTCTTTCTGCAATTGCATGAAATAGCTCAGAGTCCCACATTTCCCAAGGCCCCAGCTCTTCTCCTTGGTTTATTATATATAAGGGTGACCAAACCAGTTACTTCTAGTCCTTCCATAGTTCTCTGAAATGGTATGTAATAACCTCCAGGCTTCAGTGCCAACCCATTTCCTACGTACTGTGGCCCCTCCTGCAAGGGCCACACGAAAATCACAAAAGCTGAGCACCTACCATCAATGGTTCTTTCCAAGTCTGGGCTGAGAAGGGGTTGCCTGAAGAGATAATATCTATCTGTATGTTCATGTTTGAGTGTGCTCACTTGCTCTCTCTCCACCATTTTTCCTCCACCGCACACAAAAAGATAAGCATTGTGTCCTCAAAGACCTCTGATTTTTGTTCAAAGAAAAAAGAAAAATAGAGCCTTACAGCCTCCTTGACCAGTTTTCTACTGGATTCCACCACTGCCTCTGTCAGTGTAAATTCCGTTTTAATCATCTCCAGCACATTGATAGCTGATTCCAGGGGTGTGAGCTCAGCCTCCATATCAAAGGAACAGTCTAGGACAAAGAGCACAGTTTTCACTTTAAAGCTATTTTCTCCAGAGTAGAAACGTTATGTCCAAAAATACATATATTAATGGACAGGAAACATGCAAATATAGTAAGATTTGCATCTGATTGCTGACTAACTCGCTATAGGCTTACAAACATGTTAAGGGTCCAAATTCAAGTCAATTAATTTGAAATGACTTAATTTTCAAGACAGGTAAAAAATTATTTTTTTAACACATGCATTTGCAGCTCAAATTTCAAGATGCACACATCCTCCTCAGATACAAGCGGCCAGAAACTGTAGACCGTTTTGCTAAACAGCTTTCAAGTTCAATTCAGAAAATAAAAATGTGCTTCTACTGTGAAAACTCTCTATGTGGGGGGAAAGATGTGGCCATCTTAACATAACTCACTTCAGACAGCAGCCAAGTTGGGGCGAGCAAGAAACAGGTGGGAGGAAATAAAAAGAAAAACGCAAACCACAGAAAAGCAGGCAAGAGAATCTCATCAACTGCAGAAACTAGAGCCCAGAGCATGCTCATTCCAGAAGGAACACGACCACCGATCCGAACGCAGCGCACCTCAATCCCGAATCCGTCAGTCCCGGATGTAAATTTGGTAACAGAGTAACTCTAAACCCGGAGAAGAACACAAACATTGCCATACCTAAATTTTCCCCTTCTTCGATGCGCGACAGGCACTGCATAACCCGCAGCAGCCGGGACACGGTGTGCTCCTTTCCCAAGGGCCTGACAAGCAAAGCTGGGAAAGAAGACAGCGTTGGTTCGGCGATCCCCCTCCCCCAGCCCCGACCCCCGGCCCCGCCCACCGCC